GGGGGGGAGCATAAGCAAATCATGTGGTCAGATTACACTTGCTGTGTTGATTACAAATGACTTAAACTCCAAAGTGTTGGTTATAACATTAGAAAGAGACAAGAACATGACATTCCCTGCTATGAGAGGTCTGTGGATTTACGAGATACATGAAAGATAAGCACTTTCTCCATTTATTTTAGTAATTCAGCTGATAAGGCCAAAACAGAGGAAAATCTTGCTTACTTTGTCCAGTGGGACTCCAGCAAAGTTGAGTAATAGACAATTGTTGGTAGTAAAGCTGAGAAGGACCAGAGCAAGAGCGTTGGGAAAAACTGACTGACGATGGGATTCTAGTGGGGGAAAAGAAGTAAGAATAAGTATTAAAAACGTTTTAATGCAGCTGTGATAGAACAGAGGCTGTAATATTTTGGGTTTTGTAAATTATAGCAGGTTGGACTGTGGAAATTATATTCAGATACAGTCTTAAAATGAGTAAGTACTCAGCACTGGTGTGCAAGACAAAAAACAAGAATAGGATTGGGAATTAAACTGCATGAAAGTGAAGTCTCAGAAGTAGTTTTTATGTAGTTACTCTAGCTTGGGGAAGTATTTAACACGAACAGTATGCAAGAAACTTTAGCTGCAGTCAAACTAGGACCAGATATAGATGCCATCCTGTTTTGAATCCAATAAGCAAAATAAAACTATGGCATTTTACTTCAGAGTTTAAAATCTGATTTCCCCCCTTCTCATCATAAAAAAAAAACAAAATACAAGTTGGAGTTGAAATTCCATTTTTGGCAAAAGTTTTTGACCACAAAATTTAGAATTATGTAAATGTGGAATGCAAATTTTTACTACAAACAAGTAAAACACAAATTTATAATAATATAAAGTTTCAGATGAAATTATTTCAGCCTACCAAGGAACAAAACAGAATTAAAGACCTGATTCAGGACATATGCTTTTTAATCAGCAGTTAGTAAAACAATCCTGAGAATTTCAACTGAATTTAGCTTACAGACATTGTTTCATTGCCTTACTATATACCTATCAGTTTATAAACATTTTGGTCTGATACACAGCCATATCCAAACATATGGTGATACTCACATTAAGGTAGTGAATAGGTTTAGTGACATTGAACTTGTCCATGGTTGTGATGATTATGGAAGGAGTAGTAAGAAAAAAAAGCACAATAAAAAGAAGCAAATTTATGCAAGCCCATCTAAACCACCATTTCAGTCCACGCACTGAAAGATTTTTCCTGGAAAAAAAAGGAGATAAAAACAAGCAGTAAGCATTTGCTGTTAAAAAAAATATATACTACCTGTCAAGTAACAGGTGGCACTGCTTTTTCTAAATTGAGCTTCCATAGTCTCAAACTTATATAACAAAGCACTATACAAGTTCCAGTTGCTATTAGAAATAAAGAAAACTGCAACCTTTCTTGAATGATAACATAAATTGCACTTCCAGCAGAACATATTTAGTCTTTCATAACACAAACACAATGTCTAATGTAGTTAAGGTTTAGGGATGAAACATTTCCATTGTTTAATAATACAGAAGTACTGAAATTAGAACAAGAAGAAACAGAGAAGAAGATATAGAGTATTTCTGCAAGGAGAATAGCTATCAGAGGCAGAATCAACCCATCAAGAAACTGATTTGAAAAAAAAAAAAATATTAAAAAACCCTGTATCCCTTCCTGCCGTATTAAAACAGCAACCATAGGTCTTAAACAGGTAAAGTTCTTACATGTTATCTGAAATGGTTCCCAAAAGGACTAGAATGATTTGAACTCCAAAGCCAAGTATTTAGAACAGACAAAACAAGGATACAGAGGCTCAGTAACATCCCCAGCTATGACAACTCTTTTTATGAGCCTAGGTAAGTAACTTGGCATATCCCAGTGTCTCCTCTTCTTCAAGGGGAGAAAATAAAAAGAACAGGGGGAAAAAAAACCAAACAGCAAAATCCCACCACCTTCCCCTCTCAGAGATGTTTAGAAAAGCTTTGTAAGTGCTTCAACCCACTGAGTCTCAAGGATCATTTCCTGTGTCCATAAGACAGTGCTTGAAGAAAGGAAGAGGAAATGAAGCACATACGCGTGCAAGAAGCCTTTCATGACAAAGGCAGATTAAACTGACCCTACTTGGAAAGCAACTTGCAAGAGATTTTTAATTCATGTCTCAAAAGACACAGCTAAGATTCATGGTTGTTTACTTTATGGTGAAAGATTCTGTAGTTTATTCCCAACTGCAGAACTGTAGTTCTAGAGAAATTATTACCTCAATTATTAAAAACAGATGGCATAGTCACCTTAAAAGTAATTTTCTATTAAAACATTAGGAAAAAAGTGTACTTTTCTTTTTTTTTAAAAAAAAAAGAAGTTTCATACATCTGAAATACAGTAACTTGTGCAAAGAATCATAGAATCGTCTAGGTTGAAAGGGACCTTTAAGATCATCCAGTCCAACCATCAACGTAGTACTACCAACACCACTATAAAACCACATCTCTTAGCACCACATCTACCCGTCTTTTAAATACCTCCAGGGATGGCAAATCCACCTCTTCCCTGGACAGCCTGTTCCAATGCTTAACAACCCTTTCTGTGAAGAAATTTTTCCTAATATCCAATCTAAACCTTCCCTGGCGTAACATGAGGCCATTTGATCCATGTTTGTGTCTCACTTGTAGTTTTGGTTTGGGCAATGGAAATGTCACAACAAATTTACTGTTATATGAACAGAGGATTACATTGACCCAACCCTAAATTATTTGCAAAGCAACTGAAAAATGTTTAGTCCTTTTTAGCCTGCAAGCATTACAGAAGGCAGCACAGGAACAGTTTAATTCAAAAAGCATTTATCTATTTTGGGGCTGAGGAAGGACTTTTTACAAGGGCATGTAGTGACAGGACGAGGGGGAATGGCTTCAAACTTTAAAAGAGTAGATTTAGATCAGATATTAGGAAGAAATTTTTCACTTTGAGGGTGGTGAGGCACTGGAACAGGTTGCCTGGGGAAGTTGTGGATGCCCCACCCCTGGAGGTGCTCAAGGCCAGGCTGGATGGAGCTTTGAGCAACCTGGTCTAGCAGGAGGTGTCCCTGCCCATGGCAGGGGGAGGGTGGGGGTGGAAACTAGATGATCTTCAAGGTCCCTTCCAACCTAAACCATTCTATGATTCTATGATTTTCCAGCACTTTCCTGTAAGCAGTGGGTAAAGTCTGGGAAATTTACTGGGTTAATAAAAAGATGTTAGAAGACAGACCATAGTTCACAGAGTGGATCAAGTTCTACTTGTCATATGGCAACTCAAAAAAAAGAACAAACCATACTTGGAGAATAGGCAGCACTAACACCATCTGCTTTCCTCAGATCTTAACAGTAGATATGCACTAACCTCAAAAAAATGGAAACACTGAGGCACAGACGTTAATAAGTTGGGGGTGGGGGTGTGTGTTTGGGTTTTTGTTTTAGTTAACAGAAACTGCAGGTACCAGAACTTTGAGGTGGCAAAACTAGTCAGCCTCTGAGAGGCCTCCCCAAGGTCAATGAAGAACACCAGTAATGGAAATAAAGATGTAGATCAGCCACACCCAAACACTACACGAAGTTTAGGGTTAAAGAAAAACACACTCAGCCCCTTCTCCTGTCCCCCTTCTAATCCATATCATAAACCATAATAATAAACCACAAATAAGTGGATGTAAGACAGGAATCTTACCAACAAATATTCTCAGGATAAGGAGCGTATGTAACCTCCCAGTTTGACACGCACAGCTCCCTGCTGTAGGATGATGGCTGGGGTTCTCCTTTACACTTAATGCTCTGACATTTGCAGGCATTGAAGTCCTTAAGGATACTGTAAGGAAGAAAAAGAAGAGGAGGATTTTTCCAAATTTTTACGCCTGAAAATGCTGCATATGTAATGAGAAAGACTGGGAATAGTGATAAAGGTGCAGGGTTTTTTGTTTTTAAAAAACAGAGATAAAGATAGTTCTTAGACAACAATGTAACATTATATTATGCATGTAATGACTATCCTATAAACAGTTACTACCACAGGTCTTTGAGATGTGACAAAGTTGGAATCAAAAAGCAGTCTTAGTTTGAACTGTTCAGTACTTCTACCAGCACAAATAACCACAGTGACTTGTATTAAAAAAAAAAATAAAATAAAAAAATAAATCAAAGCCCGACATCATTGGAAAACAAGAAAAATAAAGAAAAATAAAGACAGCTAGTTGCCCAGACACCTCTTTGTGTAATTACAGCTGTTTTCAAATCAAAGCAGACTAAAGGTTTAGTCTGCACACTCATTTCATTACGCTGGTATCAAAACTAGCCAATTTTGCCTTGAGTACCAATTCTCAGAAAATTTTTTTATCATGTTGGTATTCTGACAATTCAAAATATTACCCTCTTTCACCCACTCCTAAAATAATCAAAATACCTAATTTTATCTTCTAATATTATAAGTTGATTGTCAATCAACGTATTTAAACAAACTCTAAACATGCCTAAATTAAACGCTTTCAAAGATTTCTCAAAACACACATGCAATGCATATATTCAGAGACAGTACAAATGTGTGTGTGTTACTGTGTAAAAGAGGTTCCCCTCCAGATAAGCTCTATTACACTAGCATGGAAACAATATGTATTATATTTAAACGGGCAGAACATGCTTGTTTCTCAGTTGTGCTCTTAACAAAGAAAACAGAGAACCACACACACAAACACCAAACAAACAAAAATAACCCCCAAACCCCAGATCTTTACCTTACTAGAATTCAAGTAGCGATGTCGAATTGCCAGCATCTTGCAGCAGCAAGTATTTAAGAAAGTTAATTATACTTTGACAGTTTATTTTTAAAAATACATACAGAGCAAGCTTTAGCACTACCAGCTATACTAGCAAGCACCATCATTAACCAACCACTAACCAACCACTAACCAACCACTGTAGTGGTTTCTACAACCACTTGACTCCTTGAACCTCAGTCCTGGCTTCCTGTGTCTTGCATCCTGTTTCAGAGCTCTGTGGAGCACAGCCCACTGAGGGAGCCAAATAAGTTTCTAATTTGATGGTAGCCTCAGCTTCACAGGTAATCTAATCTAATTTTCCAGAAAACAGAGTCCACTGCATCAATTCCAAGCTAAACAAACTAAAATATTTTCAGTTCTTGATGATTCAACTCAGAGATACCTGCAGCGCAACTCAGAACACACGCCCAAAGAGAGACTATCCCATCAAAATCACATATGACAAATCAGCAGCTAGGGAAGGACCTTCAGTGCTTATTTCTTCTTTCAGTGTCACAGTTTCTCTAAATATGGTCTCTAACATTACAAAATTAGAAGGGGGGCGGATTTCACCGCATAATCACCACTCAGTTCAACAACAGCAAGCAAAACTTTCTACAGCATGTCAAATTCTTGCATGGAATTCTGTACCCTCCTTGAAAAAAAGCCTCAAAGACTAGCTCTCTAACATGACTTGAAGGTCAAAAGAATGCAGACAATTTAAATCTGAGAGGCTATGAAGAATAAAAAAAAAAAGCATGATGTGTTATTTTCGTAATACAAATATTATTCTGCTTTCCTTTACCCACTTTGTGTTAGTACGAGATGCTCACAAAGTGCCAACAGAAAATGAGAGGCTATATGCATTTTCTCTACAAATGACTGAGTAAAAATTGCTGAACAACTTCTGATATTACGCCTACACATATATCTGCAATAACAGGTAAGAGAGATACATAATGCGTATCTGTCACCTATGGCCAGGCCAGTCACTGACTCTACTTTGCTGAGATGACTAACTGGCAGTGTAATTTGCACCCACTGTGACAGTTTGGTAATTGGACCATTTGCACAGTAGAAAATGGAGAAATCAGTAATTCCTCTTCAAGAGCCAATTAGTCTGCCCTACTATTAACCTACACTGATGGACTGGATCCACACAGAAGAGAAAGGATCCCTATCCCAATAAATGTCCAGAGCCATCTCATCCCTCAGGTATTTTCTTCGCTCGAAACATAGAGGCTAAATGCACACTTACAGGAAAACTTACCAGAAAGCAAAGCAGACCATATCCACAGGATGGTGAAGAAGAAGAAAGGAAGAAGAACCAACATAAGCAAACAAGCAACACAAACAGGATATCAGCTGTACTATTAGTTAAAAAAGAACAAAGAAGACAGCAGACAAAACTTACTAGGTTGCCATGGATTTCTCTTGAAATGTTACAAAAGCCATTCCCAGTGGGTTATTATGAACAGCTTGTTCCTCTTTTGAATATTCTTCCATCAGTTCATTTCTAACTTTGGTATAATAATCTACGGCATCCTCCTGTCGGGAAATTTATGACTGTTACATCCAAGTACCAGATGGCTAATCTCTTCATTAAAATACAGCTTACACAAACCATAGTCTCTCTTCCTCACGGTACTTCCACAAATTACAAATAAGGTCACAATGCAAAGACAAACAAACAGGAAGTTTTTCAATTTTTGCACTCAGATTACATTTCAAAAGTTTTGGGGAATTCCTTTTCTGTAGACTGCAAGAACACAAAGGATGAGCTATCTGCAATAAATGAATGAAGAACTTTCTGAAGCTCAACAAGATGTCCCAGAAAAACCGTTCTCTACTCTTCTAACAATCTATCTAGCCATAACTAAAAATGAACACAATTTCTTACCCTTTCACATCCTCTCATTTCACAACAGCAGAATTGACCACATGGCTTAGGGTTGATTTGGACCCGCTTGCCATACTTCTGATGCAGGTGTTCATAGTAAGTCAGGCTTTTTTCTGCCTGTTTTCTGGACAGAAAAATACATCCATCACATTTTGCAAGAAAACAGTATCAACATCAAGCTTAAGAAGAATATAACACCCAAGAGAAAAAATTATGTCTAGGACTGATAACAAATTAATCAGCCACCAAAGATATTCATATACCTTATTTTGGCTATTTGGCATAATTTATTTTCAAGTCTGTAATAGCATTATACAGCCTATACTTGTAGTGTAGTGAGGTTCCAGGGAAAAAAGTAGCAATGTATAGCCCAGATGATAACACTTTTTTCTCCTGTGACCAGCACCTCCAGCCAAAGAAGCAGGATCCCGGAGTCATTAATTCAATAGTTGGGTTTTCCACTTTGCACTGCCTGATAATAATTAAATACATACATACATACATAAATAATCAGCAACTCAAAGCTTATCTTATGCAACACACAACATAGCGCACCTACAAGAAACAGGCTGAACGCCACACCTCACCTTAAAACACAGCTGAATCTAACTGAAGTCCAGACCAGAACTTTAAGAACAGAATTAATTTCTAGTATGTGCAAGGTTAGTACCACTAGTATACGTTGATTAAGAACTGGCAAAGCATACGTACAATTATGCTAAACTCAGGTAGATCACAAAACCAAGTACCTTTTTTTGAAAAGATGAATGAGCTTGGCTACATCTAACTGATGTCCAGAATCTAACTGAAGTCCAGACCAGAACTTTAAGAACAGAATTAGTTTCTAGTATGTGCAAGGCTAGTACCACTGGTATACGTTGATTAAGAACTGGCAAAGCATACGTACAATTATGCCAAACTCAGGTAGATTACAAAACCAAATACCTTTTTTTGAAAAGATGAATGAGCTTGGCTACATCGTAACACAGCTGGACCTCCAGCACAGTGCAGGTTGGGTAGGCAGCACTGGAAAGGAAGCAGCACATGAGAACAGTAAGAACAGAAAGTACAGTGAAGAAACTGCTTCAAAGAGGATCACCCATGTCTAACTGACATCTCAATCACTCATTTCATTTCTGAATGGGCATCACAGAGTGGAGACTTCCAGACAGACAGTTAACAAAAGTTACTTTAATGTGACATGTGCAGCATTATTCCCAAGAAAAGGCCACTTGGGAACATGAATGGAAAGCGTGGATACACAGCCACTTCCCTAGATTCTAATTTTAAGATCAGTTAACCAACTTTATTGAAATATAGTCTTTCCTCAATTCTGTCTAAGGAAGAAGATATACTTTTAGAAGATGGATACTAGCATATGAATTTTAAACAGTGCAAAAGTCAAATAACATTTCTGCTTGGGCAGGTAAAATTATTAGGACAATTTTAGATCTCCTGCTGCTAATAATACTACTCAAGCACAGAACTTACGTGAAATGGCCTTGTATTGTCTCTTCTTTTGCATTTTTTGGAAGACCAGTTATAAACAATGTACACTTAACCTGCAAGAGAAAATGCAAGTCCAATTTTGAGAAACCACATCACGAAAGAGTAAAGAAGAATACGAGGAAGGCAGTGACACAGCACAAGTAGCTGTGTTGTAGAGGGGAAAAAAAGGTAGGAGATTTTGATGGGAGCTGCATCTATTCAAGACAGTACCACGCTCATGTTCTACGTTGGTAATAGTTTACACCAAAATTTCACAAATCCCTCCCCAACCCCCTTTTCTCCATCCATCTTTAGCATTCACTCAGTGGATTTTTGCTTTCAGTGAATTCCTTCACACTTACATCACATTCTAGCAAGCAGGAGGCATCTTAGCAATTTGCTTTTTTAGCATTAGCCACTTGCAAACATGCTGTACTTTTTTTTTCACTCCAACACAGAAACTTACTATGTTTTCTTCTTTATATGTGACATACTTCATGTGATGTCTCATGAAGACAACTGTCAGAATCAGGTAAATAACAGCAAAAACTGTGTGCAGCCAAAGAAGATTATTGCTGTCGGACAAAATGTAACGAATATGAGCAACAGGAAGAACGAATTGTCAGCCTGATACAAGTAGCCATCAAAACACTAGGCAGATCAGAAACTCTCATTGAACACAAAACAAGAAAAAAGGTAGTTACTGGTAGTCAGTCACGCCTACGCAGATGCCTTGGATAGACATTAGGGTTACTCGCTTATCATAAGATTCTATGGTAACAGACCTACAAAGAAAACAGATATTCTACAACATAGACATTTTTAGGCAGCATTTGACTTGCGCCTTCTTTTGGATGACCAAGAGCACACACCATGCTACTTGCCAAAAGATTTTTTCTATTTTATATACTCAGCTGCCGTGCTGAGTGCGTAATTGAACTCTCCTTGAACACAATCCTTACTCAAATTGAAAAGAGGGAGTTTTCCCTGAACACGGGAAGCAAGTCCTGCTTCTCTGATAGCTCCTTCCTCAAAGCTTACAGAAGTTCTGTTCTGTGAAACGTTCTTCAGTTTTGCAAAGAGCATTAATAATTACAATCAGGAACCTATTTTACAGGTAAAAAGCCCAACCAAACAAAAAATTCCCACTAGTTACTAGGATTCATAACGTGGTTAAAAAAACCCAAAGGGCATTGGCAGAAACTCTATGGGATACGGTAGCATGGATAGATGTGGATTGATCAAACAATACAAAAGAAAAATTGTACAGCTTTGTTTCTCAACTATTTTACAGACTTTTAAAAACACATAGAAGTAATTTTAGTCGTGATCTCGGACGGGAGAGATACGCACACACATAAATCTGATGTAAGAGAATTTAAATCATCCAAGTTACACATTCTAGTAAAGCTGTCAGGTTTATTTTCCTTCTGAAGTATCGTTTCTTTTAATGTGGAAATGTCTGAAAATAATATCGCTAGATGTGTAGTCATTAGCCAAGAGAAACATGTGGTGTAAGAAGTAAAAGCTGAGAGAGTAGAAGCCAAGTCTCCAGATTTCTTATCAGCACTGTAAATTCAGAGCCTGAAGCAGAACGTATCCCAGTTTCAGTTGATGAAGCGTGAATAAGTAATTCCTACCCCATGAGCCATGCTGCAAGTATCAATTCATGTGTTTCAAGACTACGGCAGGAAACAGACATAAGCATAAAAGTACTCTGCAAGATTTACTTACCCAGTTTGTAAGTTTACTATAGTTGTTCTTCCGAAACTATAAGGATCTTTATCTAAGAACAAAAACAAGTAGCATAATTAACTGGTTCAACATTCACATGCAAACTGTCAGAAAGTCAGCTTTTTGTTTTTTAAATGTTTATATACTTCTTTTTAATGTTGGGCATGTTTGTTGTTAAAAAGATTTAGAGTCACAATCAATGCTGGTTTACACTCTATTGCATTTTAAAGTTGGAAAACAAAAATCCCAGGATTATAGTACCTTCAACCCATCAAGAGAAATAATAGATTATTCTTAAAATCTGAATACTAGTTCTTTGCAGCAGTTCCCTTTCTCCCTCCAATCTCCCTTCACATCCATTAAGAACATTCTTTAGGGATTTGAACATATTTCATTCGCATTTTTATTCCATCTTCACTGATTTCTTATCTCAGTTTTTTTAAACTGCATTAATTCAGTGTTGACAGAACAGTACTGATAACCTACTAAGGTCAAAAATGAGAAAGTTTATATGACATTGTTTCTCTAGACTGTCAAGTATTTTAAAAAATGATAACGTAAATGAGTGAAAACTGAGTACATGTTCACAAAGGAAAAAGAGCTAAGTGTATCTGGAAAGCTACACAATCTTCTGGCATAGACTGTTAAACCACATTGCAAGTTAAATCATCATAACAGAAAGAACTGCAAATGCACAAAATCAACATATGGTGCAAGGGGAGGAAGAAGGGGAAAGACACTAAAACTTCGTATTTGTTTTTCAGCTGTATTTCCTAGCATCACAAAAATTAAGGCAGGATAACACAAGCTGTATTCTCCTGCTTTAGAAGGCCAGCCATACTCTGCCATTTGAATTAACAAAGAGCATCTATTGGTATCCAAGATACCACAACTTTTATCAAATTGTAGTTACAGAAGGACAGTGCATGCAAATTGATGTGTATTACAAAAATCCATTTTGATATAAACATATAGGTAGTAACTAGACCAGAAGAGGGAAGCACGTTCGGTAAATTCTTTGAAGGCATCAGTATCACTCTCTTTACTTTACGAAGGAGGTGAAGACAGCAACTAGGGCACCAGTTATGTTGAATTTGATTCTGTAAAACTAGGGATGCTGGCTGAGAACACAGCAATGGAAAGCAAGGAAGGAGAAGTGACTCTGAACTGATAAAGGGTCCTTTGAAAGGACCAAATAAAAAAAAAAAAGAAATGCAAAGAAGAAAAAAAGAACAGCAATGGTCTTTAAGAAAGCAGATATTAACATAAATAGATAATTGCTAAGACAGACCTCATAAAAGGGAAGTCAGAGATGGCAGTTCCACAAAGAAACAATGCTAAAGGCACAGGTACAATGTACGCCATTACAGATGAGGGCTAAGTCACAAGGCTCTTTAAAACACAGGTAGCAGTAAACTGAAAACAAAAACTAGGCCACATTATTAAAGACAATAGAAGAGAATAAATTACAGGGACAAAGATCAGCAAGGTCAGTACACAAAATAAGATGCAATAGTTGCAGTATGAGAACAAACAAAACAAAACACAAGCAAGTACTCCACTTGAGAGCTCCTAGGAAAACCAAGTGAATCATTGCTTTTTTTTGCAGCACTATTCACCAAGATGATCAACAGTGAACAACTCTGTAAACATGATCTTGATAAGACTGATACAAAGCCAGATATAAAATAGGCTTATAAGGGCTCATTATCAAAAATCAAAGAGTATTTAAACAGGATTTAACAGAGTTCAGTCCACCAGTATTCTCATCAGCAACCTGAATGGCAGACTAGAGAACACACTTATTGTATTTGTTGAGTGTGAGTTAATAATGAAAAGAAATAGGTGTCACACTGGCAGACACAATAAGGACTAGACTGCAGGAAACATGAAACAATTCTTTGTCTAGTCAGCACTGACAAAATCTCAGCGAGAAGTTTTGTCCAGTTTCGAGCTGCAAACCAAGACAGAAGGGAACAATGAGAGACAGTCTAGCTAGATAGAAAAAAAGTTCGGCGGATGCCCGATGATTTTATGATCAGTCAAATGGAAAAGATTTCTCATTAATGACCGAATTAACTGGTCTGGTTTATCAAAAAGAGGAAAAAGCACAGATGAATTGATAATCTTCAAGCAGCTAAAAGGATATTGCAAAGAGGAAAAGAATAATCTGTTCTCCCCAGTGATCCTGAATTGCAGCAAAAGAGATTTGGACTGGACACTAGAAAAAGACTTCTCAACTGCAAAGACAGTTTCCATTGGCAATCACCACCAATAAAAATCATAAAGAGTGCCTAGATAAAGACCAGTTAAGAGGGCATAGGTCAAGTTAATCCTGCCTTGAGCCTTCTAGGTCTAGTCATCTATATCTGCATGTGGTCTGCTGTCTGCATGTGGTCTGCCATCTTGTTTCTGACAACAGCTTTTGCCTGACATTTAAAGAACCCTCTACTCTCAAACAAATTTCACACAAAATGACACACATACTGGACTGGCGGAGGAACAAAAAACAAACCTTACAAAGTTCGCCAAAATAAAAAAATACTAAAAGCTTTTGCAATTATATAAAACACAAAATTCTTCCCAGAATACAAAAAAAATTAAAATATCTTACCAAGTAGATCACCTGATAGGTTGACAGGCAATATGACACACACAGACAAAATGCTGACAGCAATCAACAAACAGATGATGTGGCGCTGGAAGGCAAGGTAATGTATGGCATCTTCACCACATCTCTCATGAATCTCATCATCGCTGCATCATAGACAGAAAAGCACATGGTCAGTCCACTTAACATCCTTGAGGTTTTGGGGGGTTGTTTTTGAACTTACACTAATTTCTCAGCCTACCCAGTGACATCTCCATCAACCCCTATCCATTTTCAACATGGTTGTGTCCTTTCATCGACAAATTTAAGTTCCAAAAGTGTCTTTTCCTTGTGCAGTATCAACATACAAAAACTAACATGAGGGAATTTAAGATGGAAACAAGTAATCTGAAAAGCAAATATAATTCCAAGGTTTTTTTTATCAGCCTAAAAGAGGACAAAGTCATTTGCTGTGACCTCCTCCTTTACGACAGTCACCAGGTGTTCAGCCTACCTCTCAAACTTTAAGATCACACTGTGACAGTGTTCACTCATCTCCGTAAAGGCTCCCCATGAGGAAAACGACAACAGAATCACCTTACTCTTACAACATCCAATTAACAGAAGATATTAATAGGCTCTGGAATGAACTCTAATCACCTATCCATTGTCAGCAGGACAGATCATTAAAATAGGAGTTCTTGGAAAAGGAAGCAATTGAACTAGCAAAAATGGAGAAAGACAGGCTCGATCCCCACCCCTTTTCTTGTTTCAATGTACCCAAGCTAGAAATTGAGTGAATTTATCTTTATCTTTTTAAAATATTTTTTTAAAATCATGATTTACTAAGCCCCAAGAGATACAAAGAATGAACATCACTCATCTAATGCTCGGTTTCTGGGAAACAGTGGGATGGGCTTTTCCTAGTTAGCCAATTCCAGCCCCAACTAAACCACCAGTTCTCCACAGAAACGCTTGCAGGGAAATCCTCTTTCCTGCCTGGGGCCAGGCTGGCTTCAAACAGGGAAACACCCACACAGTACTCTTTGAAGGGTAAAAGCCTAGAGCCTAGTTATTAGCTCAGAATCCATATAAATGCCATAGATTCACTCAGGTTCACACACTGGCCCGAGATCAGGAAGTCCCTGGGCTGCTAGCAGAAGGATGACTGTATCCTAAAGAAGTATTCCCATAAGCCAACCTTGTTTTCATATTCTTTTTGCACCCCACCAGAGGCACCTGTATACTGTTTGTAGTAAATTCTATCTACCGAAGGAAAAAAAAAAACCACCAAAAACCACACCTACATTTTATTGGATGCAACCCTCCTCTTTTATTAAAAAATAGAGCAAAGCAAACCACAGCTCACTATTTCTGTTTCATACACTTACTGCATCCGAAAAGCAGCTGTCATCCAAGAACAAAACCCCTATAAATAAAGAAGGAAGTTTTTAGGAGCTAACGTACAAAACATACAGTCTCTAATCTGTACCATTAAGAGAAGTGTTTCTATTAAGACAATCTCTTAGTTAAAGAGCTGGCAGTTTGTTGCTCTGAAATCATCATTTAGAAATATATAGAAACCCACCTTGTGTTCTACACATTTTTTACAAGTTAATTCAAATGTCTGTCTTCAGAGAGTATTTAAGGGTGGGGTTTCTTTTATTACTTGCATGTTTATTGCTTGGGCTTCTTAAATTTATACAAGTGTGCCCAAATACCATCTCCAATGAACAGAAGTTAAGATTGAGGCTTTTAAGGATTTTTTTTTTTTTAAAGGACTGTTTTAGAGCAGAAAAGGTGATTATTTTTTCCCAAAATCATTTCCAGAGACTCTCCAATTTCAGAGACAAGTTCCGCAAGAGTCTAATAGAAGTTAATCACTTAAACAGTAGTTAGAAACAACGCTGTGATTACGTCAACAGAAAGGCTTCTTGCACAGATTTACAAATCCTCCTATGAAACTGTATGGCAGCGATCACATCTCACAATATTCCCGTACGGTTAAAAAAAAAATCTTATCTGTTGAAAGGCCTCTTATTTCAAATGAATAGTATCAAGCTAATGAGACACATTTTTATTCAACAGTTTAAATGATTAAGTTGCTTTAGGTTTTTAAAAAAGATGAAGAAAACTACACAAATAGCAGAGCAATCCTGTTCAAACACCAGTAGGCTTTTGATGCTCACACAATTATTTAGTTGCAAGGCTAGATATTAAGTTGATACATATATAAAATGTTAAAACGTAGGCTGCCACCATTGGACAGCTCTCGCATGGTTTGTTCTGAAGCTGTAACACAAAATAACAGAGATGTGTGAATTCAAAGAGAGACCATAGATGGAACCAACTAAAGGTTTGGAGCGAAGAAAATTTTTTGGCCAAACCATTTTTAATATTAAGAGCACATGATATTATTACTAGCCTCACACTTGCATCCAGTTGTCTCATCTTCGTGAGGAAGACAATGTACTATAAAGACTAATTGGGTATTTTTTGCAATGTGAACATAATGTAACTTTTTGAACTATTATTTAAGCACAAATTATTTAGTAGTCTTTTTTCTTCCCTGCATCCCCTTTGAAATAACACATAGTCCCCATGCTAATTTTTAAAAAAAAAAAAAAGTCACTTAAAAACAATGACACAAGATACTGGTTTGTGATATGGCCACAGTTTGTCAGGATTTAGATTACTAATTTTTGCACATAGATAGTCTTCCAGTTTAATGACTGTTCATTTGGTTTGGTAGAATGGCAAATTAGAACAGACTGCATTAAATGGTTTACATTAAAAAAAACATACCAAAACTCTAGAATACTTACCCTATCATATTCAAGATCTTCAGGTACTGATGAAGATGTTGACAGTCGGTTGTATCGTGATTCACTATAATAAATTAAATGACATTTTTAAGCTTCTTTTATAATAGATGACAGAATTCCACCAAATTTTTAAAACTTTAACAATTCTGAAGTAACTAAGGGAAGTAGTACAAAAAAAACCCTTTTTCACATATGAAAGTTGTGGTTTTAATCTTGTAGCTTATGCTTAATTATAGAAACTTTTTCTGTGTCTCATGTGGAAAAGGGAGGACATGTGAGCTCCTGACATGAGACCATTTAACAGAACTAGAAAGAAAACTATGTTTTATTGGGATATTAGACCACAGTAACATAAGGGAATGCAACACGGGTTTTGGAAGCCTAGGGAGGATCAGATTTGCAAGGTAGCTGTTCAGACATGTCCTGTTCAGACATTCCTCGTTACAAGACATCACCTCCTTTCCCTCCACCTCTCTTCCTTCATCTTACAGCCACTACTCAGAACTTCTCTGCACAATTAAATGCCTTACCTGCAGGGCTACCTCCTCACACAAATTCAGTGCTGTAGCAAGGCTAGAAACTCTGTAGCCCTCAAATATAGCAAAGTACCTGTTTTCAGTTTGTTGTTAAAAAGAAATGTTGCAATGGTGATGAACCCATAATTACAAGACAATATGTGCTAAAATGGAGTGCATTCATAGGCATATCTATGATAATTTTCACCTAGCTGGCTCCGGTCACAGTCCAGCAGAGGCAATAACACACGCTCCCAGGCGTCTGCTCAAGGAGTCGTTTGTCCCATGCAGGTCTCTACAGCCCATATGAACACCTATACCAGAGCATCTTCTTTCTTGCTGCCTCTTATTTCTCATCTTTTTTTTTTTTTTTTTCCACCATTTACTTTTCACAATTGTACATGGATTACACCTAAAACCACATTTTGAGTCCTTTTCTGTGGCTTAACTGTGAATTTACCACAACTTAGTTACACCACTAATACCAGGAAAAGGCTCCCTGTTAAAGTTTACCCACTTCATAAATAGACAGCTAGCTTTTAAACATCCCAAGACATCCTGTAGAAGTAATATTAAAAAAAAAATAAAAATCAAAAGTTCATTTGCAGTATTACTAAAAATTAGTGAAGAATTTCAGAAGCCTGCAACAATACATTTCTTTTTTATTTTTAGACCCTTCAGAAATATGGCATGGGCTACATAGGAAGCTCTGAGAAGACACTGGGCTAGAGCCAAGGTAAACAAAATAGTTAATATCCTTCTATCACAGAAACACACTGTAAACATCAACCTGTAGTTATGTGACACTTTAGCAGACAAGCAGCCTATTTTCTTACCTCCGCTTCCTTAACCCACAACTGTAGAATGAAGTTCGTGACAGTGCCAAACACACAAATTTATTACTGCAACCACAAAGAGTAACTCTGTGAGTGGTATGTATTTCACACAAAGCAGCGTGAGGCCATTTTTAACAAATATGTGCATGTCATTACAAACATATCTAATTGATACAAATGTACCTAATTTAAGCACTGTTTAGTGTACCTACTTCCATAGTCCCCAAATGATTCCAACAAATCAGTCTGCGTATATTTTTTACCTTTGAGCTTCTGACACCAGAGCAACACGACCGTAGTCCCAGAATCTCTTTCTTATGATGGAAAACAGTAATATTAAAATCTAGAAAATAAAACCAAAGATCTTTGACTATTCATTTTTCCACTTCATAATAATTATTCTTAGGTGTATAGGACAGCACTTTTTGACAGTTCCTAGCTCCTAAACCAACTGTCATATGTTAACTAATGCAACAGTGGCCATGCTACAAACCAACCAGTCTGGGACCCAAGGATCAGAACACCTGCCTTCCTGCTCTAATTTATAAAGGAGGAGAACTGCATGCAAAAATACTTCTGAACTGCAAATATATGAAGGTTTCTGACAGGAAAAATAGCAAGTAGTACCTCAGAGGAAGTCAAAACCTTCATAAATACACCTTTACTACTATGCATTACTTAATGACCAGAGCTATGATGGAAGACTTGCAATTTTATTTTATTTTTAAAAAGTAAGGCAAACAGGCTGCAGGGGGCTCAAATCTTTTCTCAAGTATGAGAATTATTTTTATCCTCAGTAAAAGTAATATATTATTATAACTCATAAAAGCCGCAAACTTATATTTGATCTTTGCAACGTTTTTTTTATCTCCCCCCCTGCATTTTCACTTTTTGAAAGAGGCTAAGAAAACAAGAAAGAAACCCCAATGACTATGTATTTTATAGATGCATTTCTTTTTTTCTTTTTTTTTTGTTTTAAAGAAACGAGTTGCTCTGTACAAAGCAATAAAGCAGAAGTAACAAGGCCTGTTTTCTATGCATATGTAGCACACGCCCTCACCTTCTAGCCCCTCCTACACCCCATACCTGTTTGGCTAGAAAGCGGTGCTAGTGATGTAACTTATTTGGATCTGTGCAAATACCAACTGGCCAGCCAGGATGCATGTCAAGATTATCTGGGTGTCAAGATTACACAGCTAATTTCCGTATTTCACAATGAATATAACCTTCTTGCAAGAGCCTTCCTCCCAACAAGGAATATTAATTTAGATCTTCCTCCTTCATCCAGCCATTAAACTCCATGCAAGCAGGAAAGTTCTCTAGGCTCTGACAACTTTGGTTGAAATTTGGTAACGTATTCTATGGCTGTTAGGAGGAACTGCCAGACAAAAATAGGATGACAGTGCAATATATAAACCTCACTTCCTTAGCAAACCAGCCTAGAAATAATATTCATAACCCATCAACTGTCAGTTACTAAAGGGATCTGCAATAAATTTGTCATGAAAATAGGAATACAGGAGCTGCTAAATAAATTGCAGTACTTGGTACTTGGAGAGGAGCCTTCTACACTGCATCAAACTCTCTATCTAATGCTGTTTGAGAGGAGAGTTCAATAGCAAGGAACTCAAAAGCAGAGACTCAGTTTCTTAAAATTCAATCACAGCTTTAAAAAAAATAAAAGTCCCCCCAAACATTCCAACTAAATCTTACTAAACGCTGTGCCATCAGTCGCACAGAGCAGCAAATACTGTACATCCTTAGAAAATAGATTTATGATAGCATGCTGCATACACCAAATCAATAGAAAAGAATGCCACTACATAACTTTTAGGAACATCCTGTACGTTCCTACAGAACTACCAGCTCAGACCATACACAGGTAATTCTAAGTTTCTCCACAGTAGCTTTCTACAACTCAGGAACCATGTTATCCCTTTAGTCTCATTTTACTACCACAAACCTCACTTATCAAGCCAATTTGCACGTCTACAGCTCTTCTTCTGGTGGCTTAAGACCATCTAGATCAAACTCACAGAAATAACCTTAAGTTTTATTGAAGTCTCAGGCCTGCCCTGGAGCCTCCAGGCCACAAAGTAATCCTATTCCTCCTTTTGTTAGGACTAAGCTGATCAGTACGTTATTTCCTCAACAGCTTCAGGAAATCTAATTTTAAAAATGTTTTCGAAATTACACATTTTCCATATTGTATATTCTTTTGAAAAAACAGTCAAGTTAGTAACAGTGTTCCCTTCCTGAAAATGTACCGAGTAAGGAATAAATGTTCCTGTAGTTAAGACAAAACATAGAAGTTTGAGCTACTGCTACAAAGCTCACCATGACCCCACATACAGACCCTATGATATTGCACTCTCTCTACATCTACACATCCAACATACAGCAACACTGTCATCCCACATGTACATGAACCTTTATCAACACTTGAAAAGTGCTTTGATGTACTCAGGATGGCCTTAGCACATTTCTTATTCTGAGGGTTCTCAGAAACTAATCTCTACCTGACAAATAAGAGAATTCTGAACAATCTAACTTTTGAGAACGCCAGAATTATTTTCAATACAAGAAATAGAAACTGGGCTTACAAAAAAGAAGGTTACATCAAGCAGCAGGACAGTTGGGATTCCACCAAAAGTTACTCCTTGAAGCACGGTGCTGCCCCGGGCAGTGCTGTAGCAGTACGTCTCATTTGTTGAGTTGAAAGGTACGCTTCTATTCCAGAAGTAGACTAGATGAGAATGTCCAAAACCCAGAAAAAAGAAAGGGTTCATCTTGTCTTTCCCTTAAAAAAAAAAGAAAAAAGGAAGAAAAGAAAGAGTGAAACCACCATGTGAAAAGCTTGCCTGGTATTTTTAAGATGAACTATTATTACAAGCGTAAAAACTGCAGGAAGATTCAAACAGGAAACTACTTCGGAAGAGAAGTCGTATTTGACAATCTTTTCTCTTCTCCTGTAAAATATTTCGCAATAACTGACAGGCTCAGTTACTAGCAGTGCCCAAGCCAGAATTCCAGACATCTAACCAACCACATCCTCTACAGACATCCGACGAAGACTACAGAAGACCCACACAAAACAAACTGCTCTATCTTCTAATCTATAACATCAACCTACTTATTCCAGCCTGGATCCTGATTCTAGGAGTAACACAGGGCATTAGATATTCCAGCAGCAGCAGTTTGAAGATTTTGGTCCTAGTTGATGGGCATGTGTGAACATATTGGCTTGTGAACTTTGTATTCAAATGTCAAGACCTTGAGATTATTGCCACTAATTCCACATAAGAGAACTACTACACAAATACACGTTCCCCTCTGTTCTTGGAATATGGTGAGATTTTCCTTTTTTAATAGGAGAATTCAACTGAAAGAACAGCACAGTACTTACAGTATATAATGAACAAGACAGAACAAAGGATATTTCTAATTTTCTAAGAGAACAGCCATCTACCTCATTTTAGTCAACTGACCTGCTTGGATAATGTAGTAACATACAAGAATGCACAAGACTTGGCTAATGATACAAAGGCCTTTTTATCAGTGCAGGCAATTTCTCACTTATTTTGGGGCTTTCCACTTCAAACACTTCTTTTCTTGGATCTTATAAACTTGATGGCTCCCACGTACTTAGGACAAAAGCATGCCTCATGCAGAACACACTTCTGACTGATAAATTCACAAAGAAAGCATACCCCAAAGAACTCTATCCTTTAAAGGAAATATTGTAGGTTCTCATCACAGGTCCAGGGACACTACTTTTCTGATATCATGCCTCTGTAAGAGGAATGCACGTGCCTCTGATGACAGCGCTACTGTGGATGCTGAAAGCAAAACAGAACCAGAACAAGATTACGAATAACTACAAGTTCTCCCTTTAAACAGCAGGGAAACAACATAGAGAATACTCCTCCCAAAAGGGCATTTAACTAAATATTGGGACTGTGTGACACAGCCAGGAAGAAATTTTGGCCAAACTGGTGTGTGTCATCACAGGGAAAAAAAAAAAAAAAAAAAAAGAAAGAAACAGAACAACAACAAAAAAGCCAACACATAAAATTTTGTGCCACCCAACCTATCCTTGTTTTCTAAGGCCTGAAATTTAGTGCTGACAGAAATATTTTTGAATGAAGTATTTTGGAAACCTTCGCCGCAACAACTGTGGAGGCGGCACACTGGATCTTATCAGCTACAGCTCCCAACTCTGGAAAGCTATCGTTTTTAAACAAGCCAGCTGCCGGGAGGATACCGAGCACGGCGAGACCTCCCACGGGTGGGGTTTCGCTGCTCCCACCCGAGCAGCACGCCACCACCGGCACTTCGCCGCCCGTAGACGGAAGGCGAGCACCGGTGCGGGCTCCAGTGGCCAGAAACCAGCCGGGGAGAGCGGGGAGGAGGCCCCCAGGAGACGGACTTTTCCTCAGGAGGGCCGAGCGGCGACGAGCGGGGG